GTCATTTTTGCATTATATGACGACATTCAAGAAATAATTATAAGATGGATTTATCTTGTATAGACTTTCGTGTAATTTAATCTATATAATTGCTTGCTCTAAATTTTTTTAGATTATCAGCTCTACCTATGATGAGTAGTTGTCTTTAAATAATCTAATTATATATTTTTGTTCAACCATACTTGTTCATTTTTTATTTTACACAATTTTTAAGAAAAAAAGATAATCTTACTATATCACTTCTTAAATGAAAATTTTACATTATTTCTATATATATATATATATATATATATATATATTTATATATATAGTAGTTATTGAACTCCATTCAATTCCCTCATGAATTTACTTGTTCATATTTTGAACCCAAAATACACCCTACTATCAAATTTGTATTTTGATTAATACAATTATTATTTTTAAAGTGCAATCTTGACGTGTAGAATTAAAACCCAAAACCAGTATGGTGATTTGCAGAATATGGTTAAATATTTTCATAAGGCCAAAGTCATCTGCGGCCCCCTAAAATTGTCCGCATAATTCATTTAGACACTTCAACTAGGACTAATACATATTGAACACTTTAACCTTAAGAAATTTATATCTATTGGACACAAAATGAAAATAAGTTGAAAAGCAAAATCGCGTGTAGCTCAAACGCAAATACATAGCAGGTGTACCAATGAGACAATGACACGTGGCAGTTGAATTCAATTTTAAAAAAATTATATTTAAATAATCCAAGAAGAATTTTAAGTAAATAAAAATAGTTTTTTTTAATCAACTCCCCCACCCTGTCGTCTTCTTCTTCAACTGGTTTCCCTTCCCGTCGGCGTTGGCATGCAAATAATCGTCTCCTCACTCTTTCATCAGCATCGGCAACACCTCCTATCATTGCCTTCATCTTCTTTCGATTAATAAATATTATCACAGATACAAGAAACAATTAAATTTTAATTGGAAAAAAAATTGATTCAATTTACTTTTATCAAAATAAATGGAGTTTTCACCAAAATATTAGAAATCTGAAAAAAGAGGAAAAAACAGAAAAATAATTGAAGAGGATGAGAGAAAGAGAGAGTTGGAGGGGTGGGTGGCATGGGAGGCAAGTACAAACATCCTAGGAAGAAGACGCTTTTTTTAATTGTTAGTTTTTTTTTTTTTTTATTTCTTTATTAATTAATGTCAATGATAATAAAGCAAATAAGTGTACTTTTTCAGGAAAAAAAGAGAGGAAAATATCATTTGTTGGTATCTATACGCGCTCATGGAAGGTGAAGAATACGTTTTTTGCCACATCATTATTTTGTGCTTAATAGATACACAATTTAAATATTTTAGGTGTTCAATAGGTACTAGCTCTAGTTAAGGTTTAAATGAATTATGCGGACAATTTTAAGAGGCCGCAGATGATTTTGGCCTTTTCATAATTTGGATAAGAAGTTGCTGTCAGTTGATACCTTTTTTCTCTTTTAACTTTGGATAAAAACTTCCAAAAAAAATTCCTAAATTATCCTGAATACTGGCTCTTTGTTTGTGGGGTACAATATAAAGTGCTTACCTATATATATATATATATATATATATATATATATTTAATGATGTGGGGTTTGATTTCAAGCACTACAACTGCAACTTACATTCAATTTTTACCTTTAATTTAGGCTTTCAAGTGTAGGAGAGACCATACTAGCAAGAATTGGACATTTTTTGTAAGTAATGCTCAAATATGACCACCCATGTCCTCTTATCCTGATAGCTTCAGAATTTAAGTTATTTATTATACCATGCATAAGCAAAGTCCAAAATAGTTTTAGTGTTTTACTAGTAGCGCTTTAATTAATAAAGAATTTGCGATAATAATAATATTGTCAATTAAATCGAATTATACAAATTATGAATTTATTCAATTAGAAAATTGAATAGCAAAATTTTGAGAAATAATAGCAACAAATTTAAAATAATCAAAACTATAAATATATTACATAATATACTCTAGATGTTACCGTAATTTTATCTTCCTCGTATATTGTAATGAATGGGAGAGGCCCACATATGGGTTTGTTGTCACATGTTGGCTCCTCTTGGGCCCATTGTTTTTAGCTTCTTGTGTGCTAAGTAGTTAGGAAGTCCTAATCGCCTTATTACAACGTATTCTTTAATTAATTTGGCATCTGGTCTTAAGCTGAAAGTTGTTCCTTAATTATGTGTTGATAATGATTTAAATTTGTAGAGTTAATAATAAAGTACATGAAGAAGTATTTGAACAGGTTCACCTTACACATCATATTTGTGCCTATGAACTTTGTAAATTAATTGGTCGGGGAACAAAAACATGTTCTCACTTTTCTTTCTTGACGTTGCTCTTTTTAGTTCCTAAAGTAATCAACATCTATATAAACATATCAATTGTGGGTTTATATATCTACTTATTTTTTATCAGAGGTGAGGTGAATTCAAGATTTCAAGAAGACGGATGCACCATTATTTTAACAATAAGATTTAAAATTGTAGGAAAAACAACCTAGCTAATATACCCCTCAACTTTGTGATTAAGAGTTGATATACACCTCGTTTGAAAATGACTCATATGTATAATGTCATACAAATGACTCACATATACTCTTTTCCTCTAACGAATGAAAAAATAAATTCATGTAGGGTTATACTTGATCCTTCTCATATTTTTTTTTAGACTTTTTTTATTCAACGATTGATTTGAGTTTATTATTTTAATGGTCAAATTTATTCTTTTCACTAAATTTATTGTAAAATTTATTATAGATGCCCCAAAGTTTTTTTATAGATACAAAAACTAAATTACAATATAGGCGCAAAAAAAATTATTTAAACTACAATGTAACCGCAAAAAAATTGTTCTAATTTTTTTTTTTCTTCGCTTTTTCCATTCACACTTCTTTCTTTTGATTTCTCTTAGTTTTACACTAAAGTGAAAGAAAAAACAAAGAAATAGGAATAAGAATCTCAAAAAATGCTAATTAAATAAGTCAAAAAATAATTCATGTGTGAACAAGATCAATATACCTCTACATGGATTTTTTTATAAGTAACGGTAGAAAAATAAATTTAAAATTATGTTTTCCATTTCCGCCAGATGAAAAGGGTATATATGAGCCATTTTTATAACGTAAGAATATATTTATGCCACTTTTATAACGAGGGGTATATTTACAAAATTTTTAAAGATAATAAATTAATGAGCAAAAGAGAAGACATAGTTTAATTGAAATATATTTTCTTCTATGTTATGTCTTACTAATTAAAGTGTACTGACATAACTTTTAATATAACAAAATAGCTTGGATTTGAACCTGAAACATCAATCTTGAAAAGAGGACTCAGACCAGTGAACCATCTGGTCATTTTGGGTATGGTTTACACCTAAATTAGCCCCTGTTTTCTGCATTTTGGGTATGGTTTACACCTAAATTGTCCAAAATTTACACCTAAATTCGCTCCTGTTTTCTGCATTTTCAACGTCCAAATTCGCCCTTTCACATTCAAAGTAAATGGATTTATGTTGGTGCCCGTTTCAATTTATGTGGACCTATTTTGTTTTTAGTGCATTTTATAATAAAAAGAATGATCTCTTTTTAAATTTGAAATTAGCCTAATTTTTTTTAAAAAAATCATCGAGATATTTTTATAATTACACAATTTATTATGACATATTTAAGACAACATACGAATTTCAACATTTTATAATCACGTAAATACTATGATATGTTTATGAGCACCAATTTTAATTATTTACCCCCCAAATTCTATACCTAATAAAAAAGGTTCACCTAAATTAAAACGAACAAAATTATTTAGTAGCATAAAGATGCATTTTCAAAAATATTATGTTACCGTATCATATATATTTATTATGAGGCAGATTCATAATTTATATTTTATGAGTTCAATTTTGACATTAAATTCGTTATATTTTTAAAGTTATTAACTCATATTTAATATTAAATAATTTTTTACACATAAATTTATCTTTTACGTCAAAAGTATCGAATTCATATGAACTCAATATAGATACATTGAATCCACCCTGATTACATGTTTTAAATCAAATTAACATGATAGAATAATTTTTTTTATATATATTGTCAATTTGTCATGATCAGTTCACCCAAAACTTAATTAACACTTTTCTCATATTAGTTTTAGAACCGCGTTATTATAGAAAAGAAGTGGAAAAAGCTAAAAACGATTTAGTCAATAATAATGAGATACTTATATTAAAATTATGTCCTTTAATTAAACTATTCAAGATCCTAAAGTAAATAAATAAAAAAGATATTTTGACGTCCTCTTCACGATCCAATTTGAAATGAGTGCTACCAAATATCTTGTACTAATAAAGTATTAATTAATTCTTTCAATTTCAACTTAGTAGGTCCCTAATGGTGTAAAAATTAGGCATGAGCTACACTTAAACATGAAGACTGGCAATATAAATTATTATTCTAATAGTAATAGGCACCAACTAACAACTTTCCCTGTACAAAATACTTTAGAGCAAATGCTTAAATTATGGCAGCACATTATAACGCACCTAATCCAAAATAATAATTATAGGCAATTATTGATCTAGACCATTTACTTAATTAGCTTCTTCCCACCTAGCTAAATTCAAAGCATAGATCCTAAAATCGAAATATATATTCTTTTTTTTTGTCATAATTTATGTGACATTATATTTCTTCTGAAATTGAATTTGATTAATCTTTAAAGTAACACGAAATAAACGCGAGGTACATTATAAAACACACAAAATTTGATATACACAACACTCTGCATCAATCTAGATTCGATAGTGTATGAACAACATCTAACAATGCCTACAAGTCTCTAATCGACTTGTACTGCAGATATAAATAACATACTATATATATATATATACCTAAGAAAATATATGAACGTTTTGTCGATAACTACGAGATCCAAAAATTATTTGAAAAATCAACAGTGGCTTTTCCCTGCTAATGATTATTGACCAGATGTAGCATCAACAAGTTTGGTATACTTCCGGTGACGTCTCTCTCTTGCATATAGTACCCAACAAATGAGTGAGAGCATTACTGAAACTGAGACCAGAGCTAAACCGATGTAGATCCACTTACTGTATCGGCTCAAATCAGGACAATGTTCGTCATGAATGACAGTGAAGGTATCTCGAAGGAAAGTGCAGTCGAGTAGTTCCTTAAGGAAAGGCCCAGAATGATACAGGCCGTTGCTAACGTTGACTACAGCAGTCATTTGGTCGTACATAGAAGGGGTTAGACGGCCCACAGTGGAGCACATATTACTTGCTGAAACCTCACAGACGTAATTCTTCCATACCTGCATTAATACAATTGAAGTTACTGAATACAGTTTGCCAGTTTGTATCAAATATCTCAACACGTTTCTTATTAAGGTTGTTTCCTCAATGCAAACTGTGATATTAGATTTGCGAAACATGGGCATGGTGTTCTCCCTAGAAGTTCTTTTTCAGCATTCTATCTTCACTGTTTATTTTCTTAAGAGTGAAAAAAGTTCACATACCTGTGTGGCATTGCTAAGTTCCACTTCACCACTTGCACATTTCCGGTCTGTCTTGTCTGAATTAAATGGATTACAGAGGTTAGGGACCAGTGGACCAGATTGGTTGTAACCAACACCGGTAGGCGGATTAATGTTTGAAAAATTGGTGATTATAGTGTTAGTGACTCCAACCAATTGGTAGGTGACCTCTTTGCTCTGAGACAATGTTTCTTGGGCAGTAGCAGTGTCCACACAAGGTATTATATCATCGAGTGCTGTATGAGCCGAAGGGTTTTTTACCCAATCATCCATTGCCACACATGTGTCTCCCGTTGCACTTAAGATGGACAAAACTATCGTTAGAAATTTAGGGAAGTATATAACTGAACAAACAAAAAAAGAAGCTAACAGTACTAAAAATTAAGTTTGTACTTTGAAGAATTCTGAACACAAGTAAGAATGCATTGTTGTGGTGGAAAATAAAAGATATGTTCCAATATTGAAAGAAAAGATGTATTATTATCTATGTTGCTCGGACTCTTGATAAATATTGTCGGGTGTATGTCAAATTCTCCAAAAAGCTATGCATTTTTGGAGGATCTGACACGGGTGCGGCAGCACTTTTGAAGAGTCCAAGCAACACTTAAAAATTCCGTATATGTCGAAGGCTATACCACATAAGGAGGTTTCAGAATATCTAGTACAGGCAGCGTAACGGCTGTATTGATTTGATGTGCAAAAGGGGTAGAGTTTTCCTCTTTTTATCAAGTCTTTTCTATCTTTTTATTTTGTTCTGGAAGGTTGACATGGAGGGGTTCGAACATCAGAGATGTAGAAGCATGATAGGATACAGATAACAGTACAACTTGATATAACTTACTTGTGAAGAACAAGAAATGCACCACATAAGATAAATGTGACTGCAACAAGGATCCACCCTATAATGACTAGACTGCAAAATAATAAAAGTGCTTTAGACTTCAAAAAACATAATCAGTTCCTTGTTATCAAGAGAAGTATTTGTTCTAGTAATAACACTTACATGTATACAATAAACTGCAGACCAAGTATAGATAACACTGCAGCAGATTGTCAACAAGATAATTGTCAGTCAATATGTACAACGGAGTATTAACTTTGAAAGAGCATAGAACTTACAGAAACCAAGAGCAGCCAAACCAAGCATTACAGCAGCAACAATGATGAGAATTCGCCTCCTGCAATGCATACCAGCATGGCAATTGGTTAGACATCACAAGTTCACTATAGTTCACAGGAATTAACCAAGAAGTGCTTACACTAAGTCTAAGACAATCATGATATCCTTCTTGTTCTTCTCAGTTTCCGTTTCAAGAGTTTCAGCAGCCGAGCTAATCTTGGTGTCAACCTTGTCAATGTTGTTTTGAACATTTTGAGGTAGAAAAATTTGACTAATTCCAGTGTGCTTGGCAACAGCCAGAATGTTTGACACATTCCTTAAATTGTCAACTGTTGATCCTGCTTGTTGCACAACATAATCCAATGTATGTTTTGTACCGTCATGAAATTTCCCTTGTCCAGTATACAGAAAAATAGAACCAATTCTGATATACCAATGCAGACATTAGTGATAAATCCATACAATGAATCGATTTGTAATGAAAAAGAGATGATGGAGAGAGAACGAGAGAGAGAGAAAGAATGATTACATTGCAGCAATGGTGAATGCGGAGAGAAAAATAAGAGAAAGTGCATAAGCAGTTCGAGAATAACCATAACGTCCTCTCCGGCAGCAGCAACAACAGATACAAACTAGGAGCAAGGAAATGGCACATGCCACAAACCAGAATATAGCAAGTTCAAAAAGAGGGGCACCAGTATAAGCAACTGACTGTATCAAGAAAAGTTTTTTATCAGATAGTCACTTGGTCGTCAAGTATATAAGCTAAAAATATTGAAGAGATGACTGAAAACATGGCATATTGGCATCTATGATAACAACCAGAAAACACATTAGAGACCATCCTGAGAAATTCTACCAATTTTGTTTGAATGAAGTTAACAAGCAAATAGGGGCTGGCAACAAATCTAAGAAAGTGAAATCGTAATGGCCTTAGAATGAAAAATTCATCTTTACGTGAAATCCATTTCTAAGAGTACAAAGTAAAATAAGACTCCTATAAAAATCCAGCTGTGAGTGTAATTTGTTAAGTCAAGAATCCGGCATATGCCAGTCTCGTAAGGAGTTTTACAGTAAAACAGCATGACAAGGTACAAGGATGTTATAATTATAGGAATTATTGGGGTCATATTCTCTCTCTCTCTCATTCATTTCTTATCAGAATTAGAACTCTTCGTCCATACAGAGATGCAAAATCACATTTCCCAATTGCTAATGCATATGAACAATCACTGAAACACCCAAACTGATGCTAAAAAGAACCATAAGAATAATCAAATGTGAAGATTTTGAACCAACCTTCGACCAATGTTAGAAATAATAACCAAATTTTCAACAGAATAAATGATTAAGGGCTGAAAAGAAATCTTACAGCCCAATAATGTTTGTTACTGATGTTCCATCCACCAGTATAGTAACTCCGATCCTCAAGCGGATCTCGTCTATGGGTTCTTTCAGCAGCCAGTACTAGAGATGAGTTTCCAGTAGCATTGTCTTCGGCCAGAAACCTTTTACTTACTGATGAAACCACGCCATAAGTAGACTCACTCACAACACCTACTCACACGAAACAGTGGGGAAAACAAGAATAATCCTAGGAAATTAGCACCCCATTTAGGAAAAGATTACAACTTTAAGGAGAAAACCAGAATAATCCTAGGTAATTAGCGACCCCATTTGGTAAAAGGGTAACAACTTCAAGGCAAAACAAGAATAATCCTAGGTAATTAGTGACCCCATTTGGTAAAAAGATAACAACTTCAAGGCAAAACAAGAATTAAACTTAGGTAATTAGCGACCCCATTCAGTAAAAGATTACAATTTTAAGGTAAAAATCAAGAACAACCCTAGCTAATTTGCAACTCTAATTTAGCAAAAAAGATTACAACTTTAAGGGAAAAACAAGAATAATCCTAGCCAATTAGCAACCCCATTTAGTAAAACATTGCAACTTTTGGGGTAAAACAAGACTAATCCTAGGCATTAACACCCTATTTAGTAAAAGATTACAACTTTAAGAAAAAACAAGAACAATCCTTGGTATTAGCAAACCCCATTAAGCAAAAGATTACAACCTTAAGGAAAAACAAGAAAAATCTAGGTATTAGCAACCCCATTAAGTAAAAGATTACAACTTTAAGGCAAAAAACAAGAACAATCCTAGGTAATCAGCACCCCATTTAGTAAAAGATTACAACTTTAAGGCAAAAACAAGAACAATCCTAGGAATTAGAGACCCAATTTAGTAAAATGATTACAACTTTTAAGAAAAAAACAATGGCTTACCATCAACCAGAGCGAATGAAAGTGAGAGTGCAGATACGAAGAGCAAGGAAAATGCTACAGTAGGAGGAATTGAATTAATTTTTGTGTAGGACATGACTGTCTTAATTTTTGTGGGACTAGCAAGTTTTCAACTTAAGAGAATTCTTGTTGGGGTTTTAGAGTTTTTGTGTGATATATGTGGCTATCCACCAAACAAATAAATATCCAATAGTACAAGAAGGTGGTTTTTGGGGAAGGAAGCTGAAAGGGTAATCATATACCTTGTTTTCTTGGATTATAGTATAGTTATATATTATAGTAAGACATTAATTTTTATACTAAAAAAGTAAGAAAAAACATAGTGCAAACTGCAAAGACGTGTGAGAAGAGAAGAAGGTGGTGGACTTGTTCGATTCCGTATTTTGGTTGGTTTTAAAACGACAGTTGTCTATGGATATATTAATACTCCATATTATACCTCCATTTCAATTTGACGTGTTTCGAAGTAAATTCAAATTTAATCGGATAATAATGTGATTGAATACTGAACATGAGGTAGAAAGCCTAAAAAGAACTAATTAGGAACAAGTTTTTTAAAAAAATGACTTTTGAAACTTGTGATTTGAAAAGTATTAAATATTTATTTGGCTATAAATTATCTTATTAAATATAAAATGAAAATTTAAAGTTAAATTAATTTTAATATAAAGGATAGTATTTTTTTAAAATGGATTAAATCAAAAGTGTCACATAAATTATGATTATTAAAAAATATTTTTTTTTATCAGCACACAGCTCCTGAGCTCCACAACAATTTTTTTATTCACCAAAACTTGGATATACTTGTACAAATATTTAAAAGCTATTGGGTTTAAATATGAGATCTTATAAATTTTCTTTTAGTTCATTGAACACAAACTATAAAAACTCTATTTTATACATATGATTTGTTTCCGTTTTAAAAAATCTACTTTACTAATGCAACTCCTAGTCATGAACCAAATGTTATTGGCATGAAGAATTTTGACCAATTAATTGAGTAATTTAACTAGATTAGGTTTCAAGTAACTGTCTGCTATAGTGAAATCCATAATTAACTTGAGCTATGCTTAAGTACACTAATAAAGTCATTATTAAAACTTGTTGATCTATAAAACTCAATACATAAAGTATCAATATATATTTCACCGAAGTAGTGATTTCTGAGTGGTTATGAAAAACTTGTGGTCGTTTGGTCGTTTCATTGTGAATATCTTTTACTCTTATTGATCATTTTATATGAATATCTTTTCTTTTCTTTTCTTTTTTGAAAAAATGTATTCTAATATTATGTTTGACTATAAATATTTTACCAAAAAAATGCTAATGTTTTTACTCAAAATCACTCACATTGATTAAAAAAAATTACTCCAAATTGTATTCTTGATCAAACATAATTTTAGTTTTAAAATATTATTTTTCGCTTTGACAATTAAAACATTTTTTTTTCAAATAAATTTCATAATTTTGGCCTAACGGGCCCTTACTCTATTGATTGTTCAGCGTACAGATAACGGCTACTCGGCCTACACAATTTCAAACTTAGTAATGTATTTTTTAGGTTAACTTCAATGTATTCATATTAATGACCTTCATTTTGGCCTTATTAATGACTATTTATTTGCTCCTATATTGATAATAATAATAATAATAATAAAGTTATAGCATGGTTTGTATCCAAATAAATTATTTTTGTTCGTCTAGAATTGAATAGTTTTCATTGTTTTATCAATTGGAAAAATATATGAGCAGGTAAGTCCATGACCAAAACAATATTACCCACTTGTATCGAAAAATAAAAAAAACCTATATTTTATGCTAGTATACATTTGACTGTCATAATTATAAGTTGATGCCTTTGGAGTTGGTAAATCCTACCTTGTAATTGAAGCTTTTCATTTTTTAAATTTAAATCGAAATTGACTTGTTCCTATCTTAAAAGTTTAAATGAATAAAAATTGTACAGACATAAATAAATGACAAAGCAAGACGTATTTTAGTCCCACCATTTACAAATGGCTCTTCCTTGAAGTGATTAACAATATTGTAAATAATGTTTAATTATTCTCTATTTGTCTTTTAATAAAATAAAATAATATAAGCCGAATGTTCAAATCAAAGCTTTGCTTGCTCAATTAATTATAATAATTACTCTATACATTTTTCTTAACTATGTATTTGTCATTTTGTCCAAAATTCAGTAACAAATATTCCATATATTATAATGTTCCTTCCATTGTTCCATTGTTCAAAACCACACGGCTTATTTCATTCTTAAAAAAGTACAATTTTAAGAAATCTTAAAATTTTGACTAATCGAATTAAAAAAAGATTTTCATCGGCCTAACCATAACTATTTATGGCCATCTCCAATGTACATAAAAATTAAGTAGTAATTTCTCATTGATTATCTATTGTAAATTATAACAAATAAAGGCTAAATTGTTTTTATTATGGATTGTTGTGTATAATGTAAAAATCTCAACTTTGAATATGAAGTGTAATTGCAATTTCAGCCACTAAAAAACACATATTTTTTGTTTAGACATAACAAATGGACCATATGACATGCTGGAGAAGAAGATAAGATTTTTGGGTGGAAACAACTTGCAACATACCAATGGGCCATCGACTAAACGTTTACTACTCTCAAATCAAATGGAAGCCCACCTATTTAATAATCAGATTTTTTTTCTTTTTTAGTTTCCCACCTAGTGTCCGATGTCCGTGTTAGAGCTCTGCTTAAATTCGGATTGTGCACTGCAGGACCCATTCAAGGGTGGCACTCCCAACATAACTTTCTCCATATCCAGGACTTGAACTCGAGATCTTTGGTTAAGGGTAGAACAGTGTCACAACTACACCACAACTCATATATTCAGTTTTACTGTTGCGTCAAGACTCCCTTTCAAATGATAAACAAAACTCAATTTGAATTTTAGACATTTGGTGATCAAAAGTGAATATGATTAATGATTATTATGAACTTGATTTAAATGAGGGATAGATTGTAATTTCATATTAAAACTATGTGATTCCTAAAATTTACCCTTTTTAAAAGGGATAATTGTACAAAATGACAAACTTATAATCTAAAATAAATGGAGTAGCTATTGTTTGATTTAATTGCGCCCCGTAGCAAACGTTTGTCAGTCGCCTCTCTCCCTCCAAATTCTCGCTCGCCACTGTCCTTTTCTCGCTCGATTCCTCTGTGCTCACCTCTCTCGTTTTATACAACATAATTGTATAAATTGTGTTTCTGTTTGTATAAAGCGAGAGAAAATTGTATATACACATGCAAATACATATATATTCGTCTTATACACTTATAATTATACAATAAAAATATTCCCCTCGCTCAATTCTCTTTTGCCTTTCTCTCTTTCTCGTTTTATACAAACACAGATTATACAATATAATGTAAAATTTATGTTTGTATATTGTATAATTTATGTTTGTATAAAGCAAAAGAAAATTATATATACACATGCAAATACATATATATTCGTCTTAAACACTTATAATTATACAGTACAAATATTCCCCTGCCCAATTCTCTTTTGCCTTTCTCTCTTTCCCGTTTTATACAAACACAGATTATACAAATATAATGTATAATTAATGTTTGTATAAGCGAAAGAGAGAGTGATTTTTGATATACAAATATTTTTGTCAACGATTTATACAAACGAGAGGCTAACAACAATTTATACAAATGGTCTGCCAGCGAAATTATACAAATCTGAAGAGGAGCCAGCGAATTATACAATTGCTTCTTTTTGTATATATGTATAGTGAAATAGATATAGCTTTCAATTGTATATGTATAGCGAATTATACATATATATGTTTGCTATGGAACGCAATTATGCAAATTTTGCTATAGCATACAAATAAGGATTTTTTATTTGCTATATGTGAAAGTTGCTCTTTTTAAAAAGATATTCGCTAATGGGCCTAAAAGAACTGAGTGGCCCATTAAGCCGCTGGCAAAAGTGATCTGTTCAGTTTAGAGCAGAATGATCCGACTTGTACGAGCCTCATGAAAGCCCAACAAGAATTTTCGAGAGGTATCAAATGGATGGTTGAGCTATATTTAAGTGAAATAAATGACTCGAATTAATACAAAAAAGGGAAAAGGTTGAGTTATAATCCACTCGATGTTTGTTTTTGGTCAAAATGGACGGGTTAATTAAATCGAAATAATGAATCATAATTCAATTCGCTAAAGTACTGTTAATTTTTTATTTGTTGTTAATCCTTCATAATTTGTTAATTGAAAAAAAACGAACTATTAAAAGCAATAAACGTTTATTTGTCGTGCATATACCAAACAAACAAGATCCATAGAATATTATTTTTAAATATTTTGATAAGTTATCTTATATGTCAATTTTGGCTATTTATGTTGTCAATGGTTTTAATGCGTACATTAGAATAACTAAAGACCTAATTTTCCCTCAAAATTTTCTTTACATCTTTTCCACCATTATAATGAAGGGTATTTTTGTAATTTTTTTTTTATGCAATACATGTTATTTTTAATGGATCAAACCAAACAATGCATAAAAATAATCTATGTATAATTAATACATGCTTTGCTAATACAAACATTAATAACACACTCCATTTAACATTATTATTATACACTTTACCAAACGACTGTTAGAAATTTCACATCTTGTTATACAAAATGCGCAACTCGTCTAAGTGTGAACGAATTATATTTGCACGACACGATTTAAATATGAGAGACATAGCAGTATAGTGTTCGATACTAAAATATTTTTTCTACAATTTTATAATTGATCCCTTGTGCACAATAGCTTACTCTTCATTATTTATTCAAAGATGGAGATGGTCTACATTTAAAAAGGATGTAATTAATCTTTCACGTGTTCTGATGATGTTTACTTTTTATTTATTTATTTAATTAGTACAAGTTAAGAGTACTCAAATAAGTATATATTATTATTACTATTAAATTGAAGAATGATGAGATTAGACTTGATTTTGTCATTTAACACCAATAAGATCAAGTTTTAAGTGCTATTTTAATAAGCATATATTCTTTTATTACACCGTCGATAAAGACGCAAATGACGCTAATTATCTATCCTATTTCTATTGCTTTTTGCTTTTTCCTATATTTTCTTTTAAGAACAGTAGTTTGAAAATATCTTCTTCACTTTATGTGAATTTGACCTAAGAGAAAATATATAATTTAATGTTTGCACGTTTCACGTGTGTATCTTCATGAATGTGGTTATATATCAATGTGTTGTGGTGTAGTGGCGGATTGTTTCACCCTTAATATGAATTCTCAAGTTTGAGTCCTAAATATGATTATATGAAGAAAATGTT